AGATAAGCAAATGTACATGGTATGTTAATCGTCAGTTTTCATATCATGCTGCAACCCTAGTTTGTGGCAAGTGCTGACTCCTTGTGACTTGTGAAGGAAGGTGATTTGTAGTCCCATTGAGTTTGCGGTGCCAGGGTGGTGTTTGTATCCCTCTAGCACAGGGCCCTCATCCTGTTGATTACTGTCACCGGCTACACAGATTTTTGATTAAAAGTTCTTTAATGAGATTATTTCTGTAAAAAATAGGCTAGGCTAAATATAAAGGCCTTCTTAAAAATGGGACTGGTGCTGCTGTGAAACATTAAAAGTAAGCAGGAGGCCACTGTGGGAAACACAGGTAAAATCATGTGAAAAATAACAGGTTGTTGCTCCTTTTCCTGGTGTTCGTATAAATTCCCATTCCCTCTGCCCATATTTTACAGCAACGCCTTAAAATACATATTTTAGAAAAAAAAAAAGCCGTTTTAAACTTTATTTTTATCATAATTTGCACAAAACCTGATATGTCCAAATGCAATTTAGCTGTTTAGTACCAAAACATGGTTGGAAGTCTTTAATTATGAAAGTATAGACAACAGCTTGAGAATGACTTGAATGAAATAATAAGGAATAGAATAGAAGTGAAGGCTGACCCAGACGTCCTGACAGACTGATGACCTCTAGAGTGACAGAGCTAGAATTTTTGGTCTCTCATGTGAGTATGAAAATATGAATAAAATACACCACAACATGGCCTACTTTCTCTCTTCTTCCTCTGTGCCATAAAATGATGGATATAGGGCACGGCACTGTTTCATGTGTGAGATTCTTTTGATACACTCACACAGCACACAGGAACATGGACAACACCATCCTAACCAGGTCTCAGTTCTTATCACTTGTCACTTAAATTTGCCAGATTCTTCCCGTGCAGTGCTCTCACTCAGCTGCATGTATGAAGATGGAAAAGCTTAGCTCTGTCTTTCCCGAGTTAACCTGGTAGGATATTTCTACTGCAGTGAGAACAGCAGTGCCTCTAGACTGAAAACTCATCTTTGAACTGTTCACTGACTGAGATTTCACATTGTCTGTTCATTCCCAATGACTACACACGAAAGGCCTACAATATTCCAATATTAATCCAATTAAAAACATTAAAACATTCAAGCCCTGCGGTCGTGGTCAGTAAAGGATTGGGCAAATGCCAGAAGGTATTCTGACTATGGGCAGCTTGAGCAGTCCATTAAACGAAAACAAGATCAAGAATACCTTCAAGTCATTTGGGCTTTGCCCAGCAGCATGTAAACAGTAGATCATATCATATTGTACCTTCAGTGGATCTTATTTTATCCTTTTTTAAACTTGGTTATTCTACTTGTTCTTTGCTCTTCACAATCTCACCAGATAAGATCACCAGCTAAATGTTTAAAAATCCAAATGAAAAATTTAACATGCAAAGCTGCAGTGAATAAAAATCCATCACAAAGATTATCTTCAAAGTCTGATACTGCTGGCCAAGAAACAAAGAGGAATGAGACAAGAACTAGAAAAATGTGGAGTGTTTCTTAAGGACAATTCCAGGATGTTTCAAGTGACTGTAGGCCAGTGGAACTAGTTATTGTGAAGCATTCCCACACTTTCCCATGGAAAGAAAGTAGCATCATCCAGAATAACCATCAAACTGTATGTTGTGTTGCTGTGGTGTCTCCAGTGTTTGAGGCCATTCACAGTTTATTCATCTTTGTGCACAGTGTATCCTGAAACTTTACTGGTTTTAGGGACTGTGAACAGTCCAAGATGGCTGCTCCATGCGGCAACTAAGAAAAAATTGAAAGCTGTAGTTATATACTGTTTATTAGCACTTCTGTCTTCTGTATCTCATTAAGTTGGTACACGCAGTACTGTCCAACTTAAGTCTGTTTGTATGAGCAATATACAGCATAATGTGTTGTTATCAACAGGTATTGCAAAAAATGACTAGAGCTTGGTTTTCTGACTCTTTTTTACTGGAATACGATCAGCTTAGGTGTGATGTCATTT